AAAACCATATGTAACTTAATTCCAGCAAACTTATACTCCGTCAGCTAGCATGACAACTGTCATGGCAGCTGTGGCTGGTGCAAATATTTAGATCCAGTTCTGCAGCAGCTGTGAGGGATGTCAAATGATATTTTTTCCAATTTCTTGTAGTCGAGAGAAAAACATCTTCCATCTGCTCGTAAATGCATATTTAATTTACTCTCTGTATGATCATCCATCTGTCTTTGCCGAGTCTGGGAGGGAGCACAACTAAAGAAAGTCAAAGTCGTCAAAATAAAGTTAAACAAAGCAGAACAAAGAGACTTTTAATCTTTTATAAATGTGGGTTTATAACAAACACAAGATCGAGGTCAGAGCTGGTTCCATTTTGAAGAAAAGTCAACAGATGTGTCCGACATTTGGACAGGAGCGTCCTTTTAGGACTCCAGTGGAGAGTCGGGAACTGCTGGTGACCTTTTGTAGGCCATACTGTCTCAATTAACCATCCTGAGTAGACGAGAAGCTACAAAAGCCGGGTCCTTCAAGAATCCTGCTCCTCCGTAGGCGCTGATGTAGGAAAAAAAAGCAGCTGATGAATAGTTGATATGTGTACCGTGGTTTAAAGCGTTATCCTGGTTTTTCTCATATTTTCTTGTCAATATGTTCATCAGAATTAAAAGAGTTGAAGCTCCACCAGTTTAGTTTCGGTACAGCCCTTTAAACACCAGATCCCCGTCTGATAAATGATTCAGAGAAACGGTTTTTTTTTCAGAGACAGCTGCCCCTCGCTCCTCTGATGTTGAATAGTGCAGCAGCTTTAAATGAAGCTCTGCTAAAGTCTAATTTAAACTTCCATCACCTCCGTGATCCGCTCCTCTCATGCTGTCAAAGTTTAAAGCCGTCTCTCTCTGCCGCGGCCGTCACTTGTCATTTCGGTCAAACTGATGAGACGCTCGCCGCCCTCGGTCACCTCCTTCAGTCCTCGTCTCAGCACCTCATTAAACAGCCTGGGGGAGTTTGATGCTGCTGTCCATCCCCCCAAAAGTGGGACAGTAATGACTGTCATTTAGCTGAGTTCAACATCATAGCCGGCACAAGGACATGATTAAACCCACACTTTGATGTTACAGGAAAGGTGGTGAAGAAACTCTGAACTGTTGGGAAATGTTGCTGCATTGAGGCTTGTTCACTTGGTAAAACCAGGAGGACAAAAGGAGAAAACGGATAGATATGTTGGCATCGAAGAGAAGAAGAAAAAGTGAACAAACTACGAATAATACAGACTGAAGTGACTTAGACAAAGATCACCTAAAGGGGTTTATGCCAGGCCTCGTCTCCTTAAATATAAATAAAGTCAAATCCGGTTGTCCAGGATGATATCTGTGTTAGTTGTTCAGATTGAGAAACAAAAAGTTTACTTTATCCTTTTTTTGAATATGAGATGTTTTGTTCGTGTTGAATATGGTCGTCTATATTTAAGGGTTAACAAACATCGTCTAGCAGACTGGTGGTAACTCAAAGAATATGAACAGGGCAAGAAGGACCCCAATGGCAAGTGGTGGGGTCTTGTCAAATTGAACACTTCTAATAAATATGTGGTTTAAGTTACTTTAAGTAGATATAAGCAGCTTAGAGATGCTCTCAGCAACTTCTCACGAATTCTAGGACTGTTCTCCATCAGAGATAGTTGGGGTCTGGTCGCTCCTCAGGCCTATCACTGACAGGGTTGTCAAGACATATCCGTGTTCGCTGCACGCACTCTGAAAGCGCCGCAGCCGACCCGGCAGACAGCGTCCAGCAGTCGGGAGAGTCCTCACTACGACCCCGCTTGCTGTCCCACGTTTTACTGCAGTTAAGTTTGGCCAGTGTGGCGACAGGAGCGCAAAACCAACAAAGGTTAGTAAAGCTCCTGTTCATACTTTACCTTACTGTACGATTAATGATGTTAGTCTGGCCAGTGGCCACCATTAATCCACGGTAGATGCGGTTAGCTTTATGCTCATTGAATGTTGGTTGTTTTCGGATTAGCTGTGGCTAGCCCTCCACTGTAGTCCGCGGTAGTCGCGGTTAGCTTCATGCACAGTGATTGTTGTTTGTTTTGTTATTAGCCATTAGCCGAGCGCTCGCGGCTAGTAGCCTTTAGCTCGCTAACATGACTCAAACGTGTTTTCTTCTCTTAAAGATGCAGACTGAAGCAGAATTCGACCTGTATCCAAACCGAAGAAAGCACAGCCTACTCTTCCAGCGCTATTTGAAAAACAGAGAAAATATGATCCAAAGTCTCCTGAAGCAAAGGAGAAACCCGGGTTCGGAGCGAAAAAGTGATTGTCTTCTTTATTTTTCTATCATTTTAATTTTCTGATTATTTAAAAATCTTATTTAATCGATTATTTATCTGCCGTTCAGTTTTTCAAGTTTATAAAATATTTTTAGAATCAAGTATATCCTGGGTATCGATATTAAGTTTGAAATTTTAGTATCATCACAACCCTGATCACTGACTGGACCAATCAGCGTCATTTACAGAGAAAGAGGCGGGATTTAGTTGTGCACCTTCGATACGGTACATCCAAGTAGTAGCAGGAAGTTGCTGAAAGTCGTTGCTTCTGCAAAAGGAAACAAAAAGAAAGTCTAGCGTGTTCCCTTTCCTCTTTACCCCTCACTTTTTTACCCTCATGTTGGAGACGTCTGGTCCTCTGCAAGCGCAAAATTCACAGAAAAGTTATTAAACAAAACCTACAAAGAGACTTTTATTATGAAACCAGGTTGTTCCCCTTCAATGTGCGAAACAAATCAACACCACAGCACAGGTGGTCCGTCTGTGGTCGCCCCTTCACCGTACAGTCGTGTTTCTTTGCTGTGAAAATGGAGCAAAAGCCTGAGGTTGGGGACAGGGAGGCGTTCAGGTGTTGGCTCTCCTCCGTGCGGCTGCTGACCCATGTCGGGTGTCAGTAAACACATCATCCTCAATCAGGCCCGCTGTCACCTCGCTCAGGTCAGCCGGAGGATTCACCAGCTCTGCTGACAGCCTGACAGAGCAGCACTTTCTTCACCGAGAGAGAGAGACGAGGGACTAACACAGAGCAGTCTGTTTCAGGACAGAAGATAAATAACCGGCTTTTTGTTTCAATCAGGGAAGATCAGGAGACAATAAGAACGTCAAAGCACCGACAACCAGAAAACAAAATGTTTTGGCCATGCTTGTTGTTGACGGAGGAATCTGGACTCTGCTACTACAGAGCCATGTTGAATTATGAAGGTCTTTTCTCCTTGATGGAAGCTGCATATGACGCTCCATAACTTGTTCTTCAGATCTAACGGGGTCTAACCCTGTCCACTAACGCGTCCTACATGACTATTGTGAATCGTAGGCGTCAATGTTATGATATTTGATTTTGTACTTCAGTCGAGGTGAGGATGGTGTGTTTATTCTGGGAAAACAGGCAGAGGTTTTAGAGGATGTGGGGAAGAGGAGGTCCGATCCTGTCGGGTCCTAAAAAGTAACTGGGGTGTAAAATAGAATTAAAGGATCATCTCAGCCAATGCATCAGTTAAAATTAATGAGTTAGGGTTGTCAGCGAGTTTACAGGTGCTAAATGATTAAAATAAAAAAAACACACTTTGAAGATGATGTCTATGAAGGTTCTCTTTCATCCAGGTCATGGTATTCTGGGAATTCCTCTAAAATATCAACTGCCTTCTCGGTTTATCTTGAAGTAATTTCTCCTCTTCTCCAAAAGGCTTCCTCAGTTCTAAGGGGGACTGGGTCTAAATCTGAAATTGCCGTGGGTAACACATCCTCAGATGATGACCACGCCCCCTTACACTGAAGATGTCACCCTAGGGTATATATTTCAGCTCTAGACCCAGTCCCCCTTAGAACTGAAGAAGCCTTTTGGAGAAGAGGCGAAACGTCTTCAAGATAAACCAAGTGCAGTTACCATTTTAGAAGAATCACTTTGAAGACGAGTTTTTTATGGAATAACCTCCTGGGAATAACTAAGCATGATCTTAGTTTTGCAGTGCATGGATCTTTAGTGAAGGTAATCGTTACTTATTTACTTACTTATTTTAACAAACTTGCACCAGGAAACCTTGAACTGATCCCACTTTGGTTGGGATCAGGCAACAACTTGGTAAAGTTTGAGGAAAGATTGTGAATTTTTTTTGGCAGGATCAGGATAAAATGTAATAGTTTCCTCTGCAGTGTTAGGCGTTGTGAGAACTAGCTGCTGTGCTCGTGTTTGAGGATGGAAATCAGACCCGTAGCATCCGAGCACTGACAAAGATACCGCCCTGTTTTCAAAGCTAACCAGTTTCCTGACAACTATCCGCTACCGCTCCCAACAACGCCCAGACATTTTCCTGCTATGTCTTCAAGCAACGTGCCCCAGAGTGTCGTCCCAGCTCAAGAAAAAAGCTAACAGAAATGTCCTGGCATGTTTACGTTCGTTCTGCGACGCATTCAAGTGTCTCTTACAGGAAACGATTGTGTGCTGGCAGAGAATAATCCTACACATCCGTCCGCAGAGTTCAAAATGTCAAAGATGATGGATAAAAACCGTCTCTGATTGGTTTGGAGGTCGGATTAAGCAACATGATCTTGATCTTGATTTCATTGTTGGGATTTGGCATCACCGAGGGTCATGAGGTCATCAGAGGATGTCTGGTTTAGTGGTCGTATTTAACGTTTCCCGTATATTTTAAGAAGACTATCTCAATCTGCTTTAAAATAGGAATGATCCTGTTTTTGTTTTTGCTTCTGTCACGTCCTGAGGGATCAGACTAGATCTCATTTGAAGCTCTTTATGCTGCCGTCTAGTTTTTGCATCATTGCATTTAGTTTAATGCTCTTTGTTTCTGTACACGACGGTATAAAATCAAGTGGTTTCCTGTTTTTTTTTTCCCCAGTCCCTCTGGTTGAAGCTAAAACTGGCAGCTCATGTAGTTTTGAGGCAGGTTCAGTCTTCAGGTTCGATGTCTCCCAGCGTTACCCTCCCCGTATCACATCATTCCATCTATCAATCTCTTTCCGAAAAGGCAAAAACTGTTAAAGCTGATAAAAACTTCACGCCGGCAGAGAACAGAGCTGTGATTTGCACACAGCCGTTTATCAGCCGATGTCGGGGGGCTCGAACATTTCCCTCCACGGGTTTGTCAACTTGATGCTCTGTTGTCAAGTCGAACATCGGCTCCTGCAGGGATGCACCATCGATCAGCTGGAGCCTGCAGAGAAGTTCATATCTCACATCCGAGGCTGTGTGTGAAAGTCAGAGTTGGTGGGAGTTAGAGGTCTGACAGTCCGACAGTTTTTCAAAAATGGAGACAAAACTCAAGTTCCACTCAGGCATTCAAGTTTTTATAACAAAAGAACCACAAAAACAAAGAAGTACAACCCCGCCTCCAAAACGATCAGATTCTCCGTCAAATACTGACTGTCAGAGGTTAACATGGGAAAATGTGAGGGACTGCGTGAGCAAGAGTGTCCATTAGCATAACATTTCAAAAGTATTAGTGGTTTTCATCATAGCTCATGGTATCATTTAAAGGTTCAGAGAATCTGGAGAAGAACCAAAACCAGAACTGGATGGCCAGGATCTTTGGGGGTCCTGCTTTCAAAATAACTTCTCTATGAGGGCAGTTTGTTGCTGCATCCACAAATGAAGGTTAAAACAAAAGAAGACCGTCTACAAACAAGAGAGCCTGTTTAAAGCTCATGTAAATAACTTTTGGTTTGTCTGTCAACTCTGGCGCCCCCTGTGGACAAAGAAGTCTTCGCTTGTCTTGTCCTCTGTAGTGTTTTCTGACCAAAAAAACTCGTCCTGCTGTCATGTTGCCTGATGGATCCGCATTGGACTTTGTTTTTGGAAATCATGGACCGATAAGGATTTCACAGAATTGCCTTTGAGACCTCTGGCCGTTGCTCTGTCTGAGGGTGTCGGTAAAGTTGTGCTCCCTTTGTCAATAAGAGATCCCAGATTCTGAGCATTTTTCCATGCACTAGTTTGCCAAAGGATTTACAATGTTAGCATGGATCGCCAAGAGAAAGGGGACAGGAAAGAGTACTGGCAGCAGGTATGGTGAAAAGGTCTTGGTGCACCAAGTAGCTGGACTTCGAAGAGGTGCTACTGACCACATACCCCATCTTTAAGTCAGGAGTTTGTACATTAATCTATTGTTTATCTATCTCTGGGGATCCGCGGAAACTCCCGGGAATAAACAACCATCTTTTAGGACCCTACAGGTTGAGGACAGAAATATAATGTTAGATGTTAAACTGCTCTACCATCATAAACTGCCGCAGCAAATAAGACTTAAAAATGTCAACCCAACCGCAAACGTGTCGCAGAAAAGAAACGAAACCATCAGACTGTATGTTTAACCTGCTCCCCTCGGTGTATGAAATCTCTCTATGTGTGTTTATACAAGACACACACACACACACACACACACAGGCATCCAGGGAGTCGGTGACAGGAGGTTAAATTGGATGGCTGTGACCTTTCACTTTTGAATTACATCGGGAAGGATACGTCCGTGTTGGCAGACGTGGCGTTTTCCTGCAGCTGATGGCGGCTCCCAATCTGCCCCCGTAATGTGGTGAAGTCACTCTGCTGTCACTTTGATTTAATGTTTTTATCACAGACTGATATTAAAAACAAACATGCCAAGCTGGGCGAGAAGATGCCAAATGAATTATACGAAGTGAATTTAGATTTTGTGTTTGAACGGCGCCCAGAAACTCGTTGAAGATGGAAATTTTGTTCCTCTTGCAAAAATGACAAATCGGAAGCGTTCATAATAATCATAAACGTCAAATCCATCTTCACGTCCATCACCGTCACATTAAGAGTCTTATGAGGACAATGTCACGCTTTAGATGCATCCCAGAGGCTGCTAAGGCATTACAAACACTGGCGTGCTTTCTCGCTCAACTCAGCCCCTCCCATGAGTCATTGATCAAGCAATCAATGATACATTATCCTCCCAGTGACCCCAGATCATCAGGGAGGCGCGTATACATCGACTGGCACAATAACAACTCATTACCGGACCATCTGACATTCACCATCGAGCCGCCACCAAAGACCCGAGGGACGGCCGGAGGCTGGGACAGTGATTGATACACTGCCCGGGCCTGCGGACACATGGAGGAAGAACAGCCGATGAAGACGAAGAGGAGTCTAAGCTCTGCAGAAACCCCGGGTCCTGTTTCAAATGTCACTCCTCGAATTAGAGAGGCTACGATGACGCAGTGAGGACCAAGAGGAGGAGGGTTTGGCCTTATCTGGACAGCGCTGCTTTGGTTCGCCTGCAGGAACAAACTCCCCGAGGAATAATCAGACGCCACCGGTGTTTAATGACCAGGCTAGGCTTTCCTCTCAATCTTCATCAGCACACACTTAGGCAGATTTTCAGAAGGGGACATGGACAAAAGTACGGCGGCCGACCAAGGCTGATGATCTGAGATGACCAGAATGAAACAAACCAAATATGAGCTACAAAAATCCAGAGAAATCTCAGTACAGGAGCTCTAAGGTGGAGAATCAGCCCTGGGCGGCCGTGATACACCTGCTTCAGGCACCATTTTCAAATGTGATGAGCATGAACCAGAAACACAGTTGATTTCACAGAATACGTTCCCTTACTTTGACAAATCAGATCTTGACTTTCTTTTTGGAAATCCTGGACGTCTTGTTGTCTGAGGCACCACTTTGCCTTCGATTGGCTCTCTGTTTTGGAGCAAGCGTCTCTGATGGTATGAGGACCGAGAGCAGAAGAACCGCACGGCTTGTTATTAACACACAGTTCAGAAGCATCTGCGTTGGCTTCGTTTTCAGGGAGGACTTTACACATTTCACTGAGACAAGGCCAAACCAAATTTTGCACATCGTACAACAGCATGGTTCTGTAGTCGAAGAGTCCTGATTTGTTGTATTTGTTATCCAAGTTGAGAAATTCAGGCAGGAAATAGAAATGAAGCCCCTGAGTGGGTGATTTTCTGTATTTTTAGGAGGTGTCAGCATTTCCTCCAAACTCACAATTTAAGTCAAGCAACAGGAAATGCTGCAGGAGGATGGTCGGAGCGCTAACTTCCCTTTTTATCCCAGTGAAGTGAACCCTCACACTTGACACTGAAGAGCCATTATCAAGCCTTCAAAGTCCCCAACGTCTCAAACCCCTCGTCCCCGCACTGACCTCTTTTTTTTTTCTTTACTACTTCTGTCCTGCTGCTTTGATTGACAGGCAATAAGTCTTTTTTCAGTGTCTGCCAATTAAAGCAGGAGGGAGCGGGGACCACAGAGGAACAGGTAGGTCTATGATTAGATTCAGACGGGCAGCTTTGACCTCTGTGAGGTGACTTAGAAAGAACCTTACCTGACAAACACTCATCTTGTGGAAAAAGCCCAGCGCGCCTGCAACACAGAAGCCAGATGTCAGAGTGGAAATTAAAAAATCTAAAGCTGTTAATCGCCCTTGAAACTTTCTGCAGGACTGTCAGCGAGAGCGTGATCGATTCCTGCCCGGTGAATGTAAACTGGGACAAAGACAGCGGCCCAGTTCAATCCCGACATCGAGCTACAACCGCAGATCAACTCAAACGTGTGCGAAATGTCCTGAATGTGGTTGTTATTGGATCTGTGTGCGTCTGCAGGAACAGGACGAGAGGGGTGGGTTCGAGGGTCTGAATGAGGGCAGAGAAAGAAAACTCCAACAGAGTCGATTGATTTATCCGACAACCTTAGATTCTGATTGATGCTCGGTCAACAGGCCGACCCAAAGCCGTCGTCGCTCCCTCTGAAAGAAACCTTTTACCGTGAGTGAGATCTGTGTCGATGGAAGTTTCCGTGGAGTGTCGGAGTCGTCTCCCGGTGCTCTCAGCTGTGGTAATTGATTGTTTCAAATTCATGACAGGCCAGCAGCAGAAACCCTGATTGATCTATCTCTGATTGACTCACCGCGCAAAGATAATAAAAGGGTGTTTAAGTAAAAATCAATATCGTTTAGGTTCATTTACTGTTCGGCTTCCAGTCGATAGATGGACGGACCTGCAACCAAGAGGTCACCGGTTTTAACCCTCTTTACGACGACAGTTTTCATCTGCGTGAATCTGCTCTGGATGGACTCAAACTCTACCAGAGCCGGGGAGCGAGCAGGTGGCTGATTGTCAAACAGACGACGGCGACAGGCTGTGCGGCGGTGAAACGGGAGGAGAGGCTTCTCCGGCGAGTGATTAGGAATCTGCGTTGACACAAAAGAGCAAACACTGGTGTTTAAACTGTACCGAGGCGTCAGCGCTCTGCAAACTCACTCATCCTGCAGACGTGGAAATAGACAGAATAAGCCGAAGATTGTGATTTTATTCAAAAATTACATTCACTTTCTTTAAACTGCTACCAAAAGTCTCTCTTTTTGTTTGTTTTCTATCTAGATGCATTTGGAACAGATGGATCCGTGGAAGCAGATGGGATTAGAAACTTAATGGAGAGTCTGACCATATTTTTGTACATGTTTTGTTGTGTAAATAAGCACAAGAGAAGAAGAAGAAGAAGAAGAAGAAGAAGAAGAAGAAGAAGAAGAAAGAAAGAAGTCCACAAACCTCCGTTTTTAGAGGTGCCCCCTAAATGTGGACTAGGGCCCGGACTACACGGGCCCTAGTCCACATTTATTTATTTATTTATTTATCAGATTCTTATTTATCAGGATATTTTTGTACTCCCGTCTAAATAAATGTATCTTTCCACACGTGTTAGTTCTCAAAAATATCTGCGTCCACACGTAGCCTTCAAACTCAATCCTATCTGGTGCCGCTTAAAAAAAATTTCAGGAACAAAGCTCCCTGATTGGCCGATGAATCGTGACAGCGTGATGCGTCATGCGTTGTTTGCGGAAGCTACGCTAGTGCGTCGGGTCCATGTGACGGTGTGGCGGCTGTAACAAAGCAGACGCCTCTGTGAGCTGGCTGACTGGTGGATGTAATTGTATAAAACAAGGTTCACTGTCAAGGCTGAAATTAGCCCCAAAAGGTCAAAACAAACGTAAAGAATACCCTGTATGTCCGCCATCGTTGTTGTTGTTGTTTTTCTTTTTAATTCATATGCGCGAGCTGCGGTTTGACGTCATTCATCCGTTAAAGTTCAACCACATGAATCCACTTATACGGATATTTTTTTATTTCTCCACTTGT